ATACTAGGTGTGGATGAGGGGGAAAGAGGCTCCCGTGTCCAGGTCTATCTCCATGATGTCACTCTGGCTGTGTCTCGCCTCGCCGCTCTTCTCCGGCCCGCCCTCGCTGCCCTGGGAAGGAGCCTCGGCCCCCTGGTTCTCGTGCCCGAGGTGCGGCCCGTTCCCGTTGGTGTCCATGGGTGGCTCGGCGCCGGCCTCCTCGATCTGCAGGTCGCTGGGGGATATCCGGCCCGCGGCGGGTCCCGGCGCTGTGGCTGGTGTCGTCTTCGAGGCCACCTGCTGGTCACTGTTAGCACCGGGGCTGGACAGAAAAGGGAGACTAGCATAAGCATTCATAGACAATTCAGCGAAGTTCTTTATTCACAACCGCTTGTTTAAAAACAGCCGACATTTTGATGACGGTCTGTCATCTTTTGAAGGTAATTATAACTGGTTCACTGTACACACAGGCATATTACTTTTTACCTCCGGGTAGGGATGTATATCCCGAGCGCGGAGGTTTTGTGAGGGAAGACGAAAATTGCGTTCGCAGCCGTTTCTCGCGTTTGGGTGGACGGATATGTCTGGGACTTGGTATACGTTTTGCTGTTGGGCTGTAGATGGTGCACGTTGTTTTGGTTTTTTAGTATGTGTGTTTTAGTGCGTGAAAATGATGCGTTTAGACCGCCGATGGACACCCCTTTCAGTGTGAAAGTGGGCCTCAGCTTTTGACCTTTGCATGTATAATCACCATTGAGGTCGCGACCACTGATCTGACCTTTCACACAGAGGGGTGTCAGCATTCTTTGAAACTGTTCAGATGTGAACCACATGTGCCGTCAATCAACGTCTCATTATCGTGCCTGGTGGGATCGCGCGGGTCGCAGCCAGCCAACTTCCGGGTGGGCCAGTGGGTCAGGGGTCAACGCCCTCTTGCGCAATTTCGGATGTTTTCGGCTTACAAATACCGTGGTATACTGTCTCAGACGTTCTCGGGACTCGGTGTATCTTCTGTTAATGGGCTGTAGATGGTGCAGGTTTTTTTTGTTTTATTGTATATGTGTTTTGGGGCGTAAGATTATTTGTATTTCCTTTTCGTGTCTCGGACACCCGTTACTGTGTTTGTTTACATTATCGCTGGTCGCTGAGGGTCGGGCAGCCAGATTCGCCACGGGATGCCTCCTGTCCTTTTTATTTTTGGGCTCCAGTCGGCTAGGGGGGATTAGTGATTTCACACATCATTTAGCCAATTACAAACATTTCGAAACTTTTCGAAAAAAATGGTATTCGCGCGAATTCACTAGTTAATTCAAAGAACAGTCCCAACATGCACCCAACATTCTGCAACATACATTACAATACCCGGAGGTACAAAATCTACGATTTTCCTTGTTTTGTATTTTTTGGATGTTGTGCAAGAGAACAAATGGCCTTCTTTCCATTCCTATAGTTTCTTTTAGTAACAGCCCTTGCCTCTTACAGGTTTGTATAACCACTTTCACTTCAAATCCCTTCTGTGGCTCCCTTTTTTGGAAGCCAGCTGTTGGTCACTGTTAGGACTGAACAGAAAAGGGTAGACTAGCATAAGCATATTATGTAGTCCATGTTGTGCAAGAGAACACAATGGACTTGTCCCCTTACTGCTCCAAGTGATCACCCTTACCACTAAAAAGTTTGTCTGTCCAAACACTATTCCTGTCTCTACTCATCTTTCACTGTCTTTTCCTGTTCACTGTTCTGCAGTCCAACTTTACTAATCATTGTCCAGTCCCCTGCCGCACACACCCAATGCCCTTGTCTTCCCTGTTAACTGTCCTACCTTCCAGTATTACCTTCGTACTCTTTGCCCTACTTACCCTGTGCCCTTGTCCTCCCCAGGCTTGTGTACCCAGGCCTCCAGGACCTTGCGTCTCTGGATCTGGCTGGCGGACAGGGTCTGTGTGACGAACGTCTGCTTGGGGTCCACGGTGAACTGCAGGGCCATCTTGAGCTGCCGCGCCACGTTCCACACGCAGATGTTCCCGTGCATGGTCGCTGTGGCCAGCAGGCTGGGACAGGACGAACTACTGACCGCACAGATCTGGGGGAGGGGGGGGGAGCAGGAAAGACACATGTTAGGGGCTACTTATCAAGTTTGACCATCTTATCTATCCCTTATTTATTTTTTTTTTTTATTTATTTATTTGCATCAGGCGCATGGCCCATATCAACAAACACAGTACATACAATTAAAAACAAATCTAAAACTATCTGGAGAAGACTAAGTCCACATAGTGCCGCCAGAACGTACTGTGGCGGAAGGCATCGGAATGCACAAGGAGATGGATAATCTCATTGTCTGACAACAACAGACGGGCAACGAATGAGTGGGTAACCTTACGGCGTTTAGCGTCAAACGTGTCTTACTTAGTCTAACTATCAGGGTACCACGGATGATCTGATAACTAGTGTCAAGCTTACAAAACAGGATAACGACTTCAAAAAGAACTAAGAGATGCACTGGAAAGGTATATAAGTGACAACTTAATGAACTTGTCTCATTTAGCCTCTGTATCCTTGAAGAAGCGCACAGGGCAAAATTGGTTGGACACATGTTAAGAGCCATTAGCTTTGGGGACTAACAAAACATTCTGTAACTACACAAGAAAACTGTTACTCAAGCAACTGGATAGACTTTAAAAACTAACAGAATCTGCAGTTGAACTAGTAGATGAAAGGGGTGGATGCTACTTCAAACGTCACAGAAGTTAGGGGCCTGTAATCAAGCTTTACTGGATAACAAAACACTCAAGTACGTAAGACATGCACTGGAAAGGTTTACATATACATGTGAGTGAGAACTTCTTGAACTTGTGTCATTCAGCCTCTATATACTTGAAGGGGACTATGATGAATGCTCAGAGTATGAGCTTCTGCCCATTATGATGACGACGTCGTGAAGAACATGACAGACATGGGATGCCGCTTCAGTTTTCCTACATGACCTACCTCTTCACTGCAGTCACTGTGGGACAGGGCGGGGCTTGTTGCCAGGGTGACGGACATGGGCACATTCTGTGTGTGCTCTCCCTTCACAAACGGGCAGTTTGGGGAATGGCGTTCATGCTCAGACCTGTGAACAAACATTGAAGTGGTTATTTTGTAGCCTTTAAGGATGGAGTGATACACCGATGGGTGGTTATACCGGCTATAAAGATATACAATGTAGATACAAAAGTTGGTGTGTTACGCCGAAGAGCAGTTATGCTGACTTTAACAATAAAGAAGCTGGTGTGCTACATCGAGGGGCAGTTAAACCAGCTATAAAGATACAGATACAGGTACAGAAGCTGGTGTGTTACACTGAAGAGCAAATATACCGGCTATACAGATACAGAAGCTGGTGTGCTACATGATACAGGCTGTACAGATACAGACACAGAAGCTGGTGTGTTACACAGAAGCTGGTGTGTTACACTGAAGAGCAAATATACCAGCTATACAATACAGGCTGTACAGATACAGACACAGGTACAGACCATGGTTCGTCTGTGGGCTCCCAGCACACCAGGCAAATGCTATACACAGATACAGAAGCTGGTGTGTTACACCAAAGGGCGGTTATACTGGCTATACAGATACAGAAGCTGGTGTGCTACACCAAAGGGGGGTTATACTGGCTATTCTATATAGATGAGAAGCTGGTGTGCTACATAATACAGGCTGTACAGATACAGACACAGCTACATTTGTACTGACCATGGTTCGTCTGTGGGCTCCCAGCACACCAGGCAGACGCTGCAGGTGAAGCACATGGCACGGTCGTCCCGGCTGGACGTGGGCTGGTGGTAGAACCCCGCCTGAGCCATGGCGTCCGGCAGCGCCCATCTAACAACAGCAGATAGCGGCAGGTTATCTATCCGTATCATGGTACTTTCTCCATTTATCATGTATAATTCACCTGTTTTTTCAATGTCCATAACTGTATCTTTATCTTTAATACCTTGGTAAATAAACGGACACAGAAACTTTCGTTACAGTTAATGTAGGTATCTTTTATACATGTAGCTACTGTATAGGATTAAAGTACGTAAAAGCTACTGTATTTTATATTATCCAGTTACAATGTACCATAAATGGCCTTTGAAATAGTGTTTGGTCAGCTGGGCAGCCCTGGCAGCTTTCATTTAATAATCAAATCAAATAGAGGGTAGGTAGTAGTTTGGACACTTTTCAATGCAAAGATGAGCAAAAAAAACTGTAGTCCAACTTTGTCGGTTTATTCAACATCACTAGTGCAGGACACACCCTATCTTGTAGCCTGGATGTCTCCCCAAGGAAATTTTATAACAGACTCCCCTCAGTTAGACCCAATGTGAGAGATAGATTAGACCCTGGGAGCTAGGCAACTGTGGGATTGGAGCTTGTGGCTTCCCCGATCGAAGGAAGTGTTGTGCCAGGCTACCTATCTTGCCAACTTTAACTACTGAATACTCCCCACCTGTAGTTCATGTGTGGCCAGTTCTTGAACGTCTCCCTCCGGGCGGCCTCGCTGTACATGAGCGCCCTGTCCACCACGCCGGCCGTGGCGCCCTCCGCGCTTCCAGCCGCCAGCAGGGACGACAACCTCTCCACGATCGCCGAGGCGATGGGCAGGGCGGGGCCCAGGTTGGTCCGCTTCCTCTCGTTCACCAGCCCGCTGTACACGGACTTCAGCGCACAGTGGGGCAGCTCCAGGCTTACACAGGCCCACTGACAGGGGAAGGAAGAATTAGGTACATGTAAGGCACATAAAGGCACGTAGTCCCATAGCCTGTTTTGAGGCTGTAGTTAATCCACAGTGGGGCAGCTCCAGGCTTACACAGGCCCACTGAGAGGGGAAGGAAGAATTAGGTACATGTAAGGCACATAAAGGCACGTAGTCCTATAGCCTGTTTTGAGGCTATAGTTAATCCACAGTGGGGCAGCTCCAGGCTTACACAGGCCCACTGAGAGGGGAAGGAAGAATTAGGTACATGTAAGGCACATAAAGGCACGTAGTCCTATAGCCTGTTTTGAGGCTGTAGTTAATCCACAGTGGGGCAGCTCCAGGCTTACACAGGCCCACTGAGAGGGGAGGAGAGAATGGCAGAACTAGGTACATGTAAGGTATATAAAGCTGAAGTTAGCCCCATAGCCTGTTTTGTAGGGAAAATGGGTTGTTAATCCACAGTGGGGCAGCTCCACTCCAGGCTTACACAGGCCCACTGAGAAAACAAGGCAGAATTAGGTACATGTAAGGCAAGTAAAGGTAAAGGTAGTCCCAAGATTAGCCTGTTTTGAGGCTGTACACGGACTTCAGCGCACAGTGGGGCAGCTCCAGGCTTACACACGGCCACTAGGACAGGAGGTGAGAATGGCAGAATTAGGTAAGTTAACATAAAGGTTGAGGTATATGTACATGTGTAGTCCCATAGCCTGTTTTGAGGCCGTAGGGGCAGTGGGTTGTTGATCCACTGTGTCTAGGACACGGTATTGGAAGGCGGAGCCCATCCCTGTCCTTACACCGCCTTTTATCCCACAACTGAAATCAGGGACCCAATTCTACACCTGGGTGGAGTGAGTTGTGTTAGGGGCCTTTCCAAAAGACAAAGACACAATGCAACATGTAGCCAGGAATGCAAGGAACCTCTCAATCTCAATGCCCCTACAAAATTAAGGCTGTACCATTTAAAATGTTGATCAAGAAATCATTCTAAACATCATCTCCATGCATTCAGAAAGTTCTTTCAAGCCCTGCTCCTTCATACTCACAGCTCGCTCCTTGCATGTGTTGTCAGGGAAAGGGAAAGTGCACCTCTGCGAGGGAAACTTTCTCCTCACCTTTGCCTTCTTATTCTTCTTCTTGGGCGCGGCCTGCTGGCACCTGTCCACCGCAGACCTCAGCTCCTTCTTCACCTCGGGTACGTAGTCCACCCCCCGCATGTCCACACTCTCCAGGCTCGCCAACAGCTGGGTCGCCTGACATGAGAGAGAGAGAGAGAGAGAGAGAGAGAGAGAGAGAGTAC